GGTTCCCGTTTCACTCTGGGGGGCTGGGGGTTGAGGGTGTGTTCGCTCGATGTTGCCCAACGGTCCCCAACCGTCCGCAACCGTCCGCAACCGTTTGCGTGAGGGCCGTGTGGCCGCGCCTATGGTAAGTTCTGCAGAGGGGTTTGGAGGTTTCAAACGTCGCGTTGCTTCGTTTCGCGTGGCAGGCGTTGCACTTCGTGACATTCAGACGTGTTTTGTAACATGTCGAAAGTCGTTTTTTGTGGCAGGCGCAATACTTTTGCGACGTTTTCGCATGATAAGTTGCAGTTTTCGTGGCAGGCACAGCACTTTGGATGGGTCCAGCGTCATTTTGCGTGGCAGGTGCAGCACTTTAGACGCGTCGTGATGTGTTTTTGTTGCGAATCGCATTGTCAGGGCTGCGTCAAGTGGCGACAAGGTGCAAATTCCGTGGCAGGCGTGGCATTTTGTGTAATGTGATGAAATTGACGGAAGCCTCTCACGAAACATCGATTTTGAGGTAGCAAATTTAGAGGTTCTTCAGAAAAATCGTAGGAAAACGTCGATTTTGAAGCTACAAAGTTTGAAAATTGCGAGACTTCGTTTTGATGCTCCCACGTGTCTTGTCTCGAGTCTCTGGTTTTCCTGTGGCCGCGCCATGTCTATGGAGGAAGCTGCAAAACTTCTCCTTTTCGAAGGTTTCCAAGCAGGTTGTAATGTTGTTTTGCGTGGCAGGCGCGGCGCTTTGTGACACTCCAACCTGTTGTCGAAAGTCGTTTTGTGTGGCAGGCGCAGTACTTTTGCATCATTTTCACAAGACGAGTTGCAGTTTTCGTGGCAGGCGCAGCATGTTGGAGATCTCTGTCGTCATTTCGCGTGGCAGGCGCAGCACTTCAGACGTGTCGCATTGCGTGCTCTACACTCCACACTCCACACTCTACACTCTACATTCCACACTTTACACTTCACACTCCACACTTTACATTCCACACTTTACACTTTGCACTCCACACTCTACACTTTCCACACTCCACACTTTATACTCCCCCCTCTACACTCCACACTTTACACTCTACACTTTGCAATCCACACTCCACACCCTACACTCCACACTCCACACTCTACACTTTACACTCTACACTTTACACTCTACACTTTACACTCCCTCCACACTCGACGCTTTACACTCCCCACACTACACTTTACACTCCACAATTCACACTCTACACTTTACACTCCACACTCCACACTCTACACTTTGCAGTCCACACTTTACACTTCACACATTACACTCTACACTTTGCACTGTACTCTTCACACCCCACACTTTACACTCCACACTTTACACTCTACATTTTGCAGTCTATACTCTATACTTTACACTCCGCACTTTACACTTTACACTTTACACTCCACACTTTACACTCCACACTTTACACTCCACACCCTACACTCTACACTGTGCACTCCACACTCCGCACTACACTCCACACTCCACACTTTACACTTCACACTCCGCACTCTACACTTTACACTCCTCACTCCACACTTTACACTGCACACTCCACACTTTACACTCCACACTCCACACTTTACACACTACACTCAACACTTTACACTTTACACTCCACACTCTGCACTTTGCACTCTGCACTCCACACTTTACACTCTACACTTTACACTCCACACTCCACCTTTTACACTCTACACTTGACACTCCACACTCTACACTTTACACTCCACACTTTACACTTCAGACTCCACACTCTACACCTTACACTCCTCACTCCACACTTTACGCTTCCCCCTCTACACTCCACACTTCACACTCTACACTTTGCACTCCACACTCCACACTCTACACTCCACACTCCACACTTTACACTCCACACTCCACACTGTACACTTTACACTCTACACTTTAAGCTCTACACTTTACACGTGACACTTGACACTCCACACTCTACACACGACACTCCCCACTTTACACTTTACACTCCACACTTTACACTCCACACTTCACACTCCACACTCTACACTGTACACTTTACACTTCACACTCCACACTTTACACTCCACACTCCACAATTTACACTCCTCACTCCGCACTCTACACTTTACACTCCTCACGCCACACTTTACACTTCACACTCCACACTTTGCACTGTACACCCCACACGCAACACTTACACTTTACACTCAACACTTTGCACTCCTCCCTGCACACTCTACGCTTTACACTCCACACTTTACACTCCGCACCCCACACTTGAAACACTTTACGCTTTACACTCCACACTTTACACTCCACGCTTTACACTTGACACTTTACGCTCCACACTCTACACTCCACACACTACACACGAAAACCACGACTTTACACTCTACACTCTACACTCCACACTCTACACTTTACACTCCACACTCAACAATTTACACTTTACACTCCACACTTTACACTCCACATGTTACTCTTTACACTCCACTTTCTACACTCCACACTCCACACTTTACACTCCACACTTTACACTCCACACTCTGCACTTTGCACTCTGCACTCCACACTTTACACTCTACACTTTACACTCCACACTCCACCTTTTACACTCTACACTTGACACTCCACACTCTACACTTTACACTCCATACTCCACACTTTAAACTTTACACTCTACACTTTACACTTTACACTCCACACTCCACACTTTACACTCCACACTCCACACTTTACACTCCACACTCTACACTATAAACTTTACATTCCACACTCTACAATTTACACTCTACACTTTGCACTCCACACTTTAAGCTCCACACTGTACATTCTATATACACTTACACTCCGCACTTTACAATCCAGACTCAACATTTTACACTCCACAATTCACACTCCCCAATTCACACTCTACACTTTATACTCCACACTTTACACTCCACAATTTACACTCTATACTTTGCACTCCGCACTCTACACTCCACACTCTACACTCCACACTTTACACTCCACACTTTACACTCCACACTCCAGACTCTACACTTTACACTCCACAGTCCACCTAATTTTACCTTTTTCACTTTAGAATCTACACTTTAACTCCACACTTCACACCCTACACTCTACACTCTTCACATTACACTTTACACTCTACACTTTACACTCCACACTTTACACTCCACACACTACACTCCACACTCCACACTGTACACTCGCTCCACACTCCGCACTCCACACTCCACACTCTAGACTTTACACTCCACACTTTACACTACATTTTACACTCCACACTCTACGCTCCACACTTTACACTTTACACTCCACACTTTACACTCCATACTTTACACTCCAGACTCTACACTCCACACTCCACACTTTGCACGCGACCTTCTTCCATATTCCACAGTCTATGGTGCACTGGTATGGTAACAGGGGAAAATATACAAGACTGTTCAAACAAACTGTTTCACAAAAGTGTTCTACGTGACTGCATATCCATGTGTTTCGACATCTGGACCATTGCCATACGTGTGAGCATTCGGGTTCGTGGGTTTCATCTTGCTTGATCCACATTAAGTTTGTCATGGTTTGTTTGTCTGTGTGTGTCTGTGCGTGCGCGTGTGTGGAACAACCAGATTTGAAGAGATGGAAACCTCTCCCTTGTTTGGGATCGGGGCTAGGCGCATCACATCTAGTGTGGTTCAACAAAGCTGGGATGTGGCAAGGGAAGCATTGAGGATGCCTGGGTGTGTGCCAGGAAGTCTGTGGTTGCGGACGTGCCTTCTGTTCTCTTGAAAATAACCTTTTCCTCTTTTCATGCCATGTTGCATGTTTGCGACTGTTCCCATTGCACCGTGGTGCGTGTGGACTGTCAACGGTGACAATAACCTTGGCAGCTCAGGTCATGAAGTTTGCTTGGTACATTTATTGGGTAAGAAACAAGACAGGGGCAGGCCCTCGACCTTGTCCAGCTACTGTAAGTGTTGCAGTGTTGAATGTCCCAACGAGTAATCCTCCAGTCCCCTTCCTATTGCGTGCGTTCTTATGGTTCTTTGCGCTCTTAGTTTCAAGTACTTTCAAACGTAGGTGTGCCTGCCCTCTCTGCCCTTTGTTGGGTTTGAGCTTCCTGGCATTCCCCTCAATCCTTCACCTCTGTTTGTGACTTGGTCCTACCTTTTTTTTTGGTTCTGTCGCATTTGCGGGTTGGGCCCTGGCTTCAGCCAGGGTGTGTGTGTGTGTATTTTGTGTGTCATGCTGCAACTTCTGAAGGTCAAGAGACCTCAGGCTGCGGAATCTGATGTCTTGTGCAAAGGATGTGAAACAAAAAATCACGTATTTTAGCAAGATGGACATGACAACACATGTTCATTATTGTCCATTGCCTCATTGTCGCCCAACTCGTTAATTCAAAAGTAGGAAAATACTAGGCCAATCCGGGGGCTTGGTCAGGTCAGGCATTCAGCAGCTGCGCGCCAGGGCCGCAGCATTGTGGAATTGCATCGAATAAGTGCTCAGTCAGCCAAGCATTTGGATCATTTGGTGCCCAGCAAAGATTTGATTGCAGATATTGCAGAGAGAGGGAACTTGCAACTGAGCAAAGAGAGCGCATGGCAAGGCTCCGAGCTCCTCATCCATCTCAGCAAAGCCGTAGACGGTAGCTTGAAATCATGGGGAAAAGATCGGCAGTTTCATTCGCTTTTCAGATTAGCATGTTGACCAACACGCCGCACATGCTGATTGCCCGTGCACTTCCTGCATATGACACCAGCTTGTGCGCTTGTTCTTGCAGATCTCTGGAAGCTGCCAGAAATTTATGGCTCATCAATACTTCCATGGAAAATGGCCAGCATTGATGCCTGACTCTGCTTCTGGCCACGATACAAGAAGGTGTCAGATCAAAGGATCCAGCCGTTTTTCATTGTGAGCATGACCATTTATACCATCATGTAATATCACCACATATCACCATTTTCTGGCTACTTGTACCTGTGCACCAATCAATTGAAACTTACATTACTGTACCAGTTCTTCTGGGTGCAACTGGACAGCTTATGAAGAACGCGAGGTTCTGAGCAGGTGACTCTCTGGGGTTGCGCACGGTTGGGCAAAGTGGTCAATGATGCCCAATCAATTAGAAGCAGAATAAGGGTTTTTGCAATGGTTGCGCTGTAAAACTTTTGGACTTGTTGCGAATTCGATCAGCTCTTGTTTGTCTTAAACGTGAGAAGTGTTCTTTGCACATTTTGCACTTTGTTGCATTTATACATTTATTTGACAAGCTTTGTAGTGTCCCCAATCTCTGATATGTATCACGACTGTATTGCTTGCTTTTCCATCGTGTGCTGTAGTGCGTGTGGATGTGGCAAGTGTGACCAGTGAGTTGTGTTTGCCAAGATCATAAAAGGGATATAAAGGGCAAGAGCATATAAGGACATATGTGACATATGTGGCTACACGGGCCACGCACTCCAGAGTAAAACAAACAGAACATATTAGATGAGGACCGGGTGACTCAAAACGTAAACAGGTCACGGTGGGTTCGAGGAGGGCTGGAGTCCTCCGAGACTTAAAGCGCAAGTTTGACAGAAGCCTATTTTCATGAGTTTCCCTGCACACTCCTTTTAAACGGGCTCAGGTTGAAACGAATTGTGAATCCCTTCACCTTGGCCTGCTTGCCTTGTTGCCTTTTTTCTGATCCTGTGGCGGCATAAACTCCTCAAATTCTGCCGATGGTAACAGTTAAGGGGCTGAAGGGCTTGCGCGAAGATGAGAGGGCTTTTCAGTTGCAACTGTCTGCTTTTCTACGGCTGTTTTGGTATTGGATGTACTGTAATAAGTTGTTGGGAACGTGGGCGCAGATTGATTTGCAGCAAGTCTGGTTCACAACAGTTTCAGTTTGCTGAGTACTGTGTGATACTGGATGTCTCTTTCATGCTTCCTATTTCGAGTGTTGCAGAGGGGGAAGGCACTTGCCGGGTGGGTGGTTTTCTCCTGGGCACCGACAGCGGCCATGACAGTTCGTCGGTTGGTTATGAATCCTCCGGACCAAGTACGCCGTAGGTATGAAATTTCCAGAGAAACAATAAAACTGACAGGAAGAAAAGCTTGCCGCAAGCTGCTTGCGTGTTGTTGCTGCCGGCTGGGAGTGCTGCGTTTCATCACAGACGCTTAGACAAAACAGGTGCGATGTAGTGTGTTGAAGCGTGTGAGAACCTCTCGCTGCAGCCACCTTGGGCCATAATATGGCCATTATATATATATATATATGGATAACCGCCATTGCAAAATTGCAAAAACTCAAGAATCAAGAAGCGGTAGGACTTGCGTGCTTTCGACAAAGATGGCTTCTAACTTTCAAGGCATTGACTGTACAATGACAAAGCTGTAGTGATAGCCAGATAGCACATCGGTTCAGAGACAGGCCTTAGTGGCTTTCCCATAACTTCACTGTGTGACGTTTCTTGTTTAGAGTTTGCAAATGTTTGCAAATGTTTGCAAGAATGCTGTGAGCTCTCGCTCAGATCGTGCAGGTGGTCTGCAAATCTAGAGTCTCTGATGTTGTCCCACCCGAGGCACATTCATGCGGAAGAAAGTAGCACATGCCTAGCACATCCTAACACACATGCTTCTACATGCATCACATACTGTACATCTCTTTTCTTGAGCTTGGTTTTCTCAAGCCCAGGAAGTCGCAGACAGGGAGTGTCAAACATACCTTCAGTTCCGAGTTTGGTTCTGCAGGGCATCGGCTGATGTTTCAAGCAGTTCCTGTTTGGCTCGTCAATGACGGCTTTCTTTGCCACAGGTCAAGAAGAGAACGTGAATCTGTTGAGGACTGGAGCAATCTGTTTGTTGCGATGCCACCTACAGTTGTTGTGCAAAAGCCAAGTGAACCTAAGACTCGTTAGGACTGCATTCTCCTTTCCTACGCCCTTGTCTCCCAGCTTGTCTCCCAACTTGTCTCCCAACTTGTCTTTCTTCTTGTTTCCCTTTGTGGTGGGTGGTCTGATTTTGCATTTTTTTCAAACAGTGTACTGTTAGGGGGTAGGCTTTCTAAGGTGTCCGCCTTAGTGTCGGATGGTGTGTCCGCCTTCCCGAGGTCTTGTCTCCTATCTTGTCTCCCAGCTTGTATTCCTTCTTGTCTCCCAGCTTGTCTCCCAACTTGTCTTTCTTCTTGTTTCCCTTTGTGGTGGGTGGTCTGATTTTGCATTTTTTTCAAACAGTGTACTGTTAGGGGGTAGGCTTTCTAAGGTGTCCGCCTTAGTGTTGGATGGTGTGTCCGCCTTCCCGAGGTCTTGTCTCCTATCTTGTCTCCCAGCTTGTCTCTCTTCTTGTTTCCCTTTGTGGCGGGTGGTCTCATTTTTGAAAAACACGTCTTGAATCCACCCACTGTTTGGGGTCTACGGTGGTGTAATCTTGCGCTACATGCTGTTATTCGGCACACAAAATTCTCCATGGATTCTCAATGGATGCGCTGGTCACCGCTGGTCCAATCCAAGGAGAGGCCTCAGAGAGCCCTGGAGTCCACAGAGGCTATAAGCGGAGTCTGATGCTTGCTTCAAGCCGAAAAAAGATACACATCCGCTCCCTATTTGTCAGCAATCAGGTGTGTTTTTAAGAGAAAACATGGGTCAAGTTGGGTTCTATTTGTCTCGTCCGTTAGTTTACTCATCCATCCATTCATTTCTCCGGGACAGTGGGTTGGATGACCTGTATTTGACCAACACCAACCAGCCGGGCTTCTTGATATAGACCTTCGTCAAGGGTAAGGTGCCGGACAGTCAAGGAGTATAGGGTAGCATAGTGTAGCATAGAGTAGCATCCTCCCAGGCCAGCACAAATGCTTCCCAGCACCTGATTCTCCATGATCTTGACTTGTTTGGTGTCCACCCTTTTCGTAATGTTGTTGCCCTAGTTTTCTCCGGAGCACCTGGGATGTTGGACTGTCGAACTTGGGCAGGCTTCCCCTGCTTACACTGGGTGTCTAGCTCAAGTAAAGTGAGCAGTTGCTACTGGTAGGGTTGGCAGCCTTTGCATTTAGGCAACAGGCAACAGTGATGAAGAAAGACAACGGCCAATGGGATCGCATTGAATCTATGGGCCAAGGCCGAGATGGCTTCAACATGGCCGTGGCCTTTCAAGCGAGTTTGTACAGGGACTTGTCACAGGCGGGACAGTGCATGAGTTTGGCTGGCAGATGCTGGCAGCTTGGTGACAGTTGTTGTGAGTTGTGGTTAACTGGTAAACATCCAGTCAGAAACTCTTGGGTTCCCAGGACACGATGGACAGAATGGCCCTCCGACCAGGACTTTTGCTTGGGATTGTGAACGTATCTGAAAGTAATCTGCAATGCTTGAAGCTTTTCTTGAATGCCCGATCCACCCTGGTAGGAGCTGTGCTCTGAATATGCGAACGCCGGAAAAGGAGGTTCGTCCATCATTGGTTTATTCAGCACATGGAGAGATTTGTGCGACGTCGTATGCGACCAGGTTTCCCACTTCGACTTTGAGGCCTACCTGGCCGACTTTGCAATCACGCCTCCAAAAGGCGGACCATGGCGGACCACTTCACAACTGGCAGCCCCATGGCCCCATGTCCCCATGGCCTTGTTTGTTTGAAAAGTTTGATATGCGGAACGAAATTCTGTGTCAGGTGTCCCAGCCTACCGGCGGCGAGCTTCCAGTGGTGCTTACCAGGAGATTGCAAGACAGGCCAGGAAAAAAACAGATCATATCCAAACATATTTGAATAATTTTGAACATATCTGATCATATCTATGAGCAAAGCATAAGCAGTCTTGAAGACAGCATCAGAATCCGGCCAAGTGAGACCGCTCCAATCCCTTTTTTTGGATAGGCCGAATCTCTGCACTCGACGCGAAGCCTGAAGGATTATCAGGCCCGTACTCATTCCACTGAACAATCCCAACAATCCAAACAATCCAATGTGTAAAAACGTGTAGGATTTGATTGATCATACAACACATGTATGACATGTACTGTATGACATGCATGATATGCATGACATGTATGACATGTATGACATGCATGACATGCATGACATGCATGACATGGATGACATGCATGACATGTATGACATGTATGACATGGATGATAGTATGACATGTATGACATGTATGACATGTATGGCAGCATGACATGTATGACATGTATGACGGTATGACAGTATGACATGTATGACATGTATGACATGTATGACAGTATGACACGTATGACATGTATGACAGTATGACATGTATGACAGTATTACATGTATGACATGTACGACATGTACGTCATGTACGTCATGTACGACGTGTATGACATGTATGACATGTACGACATGTACGACATGTATGACATGTATGATGTTGTACTAAATCTTTTGAATTTGGGCAAGGCAGCGGCCGAAGACATGGCAAGCGAGTGCAGTTATCTCCTGGACCCCTGCCCAGGCAGACGTAGATAGACATGTCCACCCCGAGAGGAGACTGGTACAAGTTCAACAGAGCCGATGGGCCCCGCTCATTTGTGTTGGATTCCTCATCTCTGAAGTACACAGGCAGTGTAGTTCAGTGTTGGATTCAGAATGTGCGTTCATTACTGGGTCATTACATGAGATTCTACCGCGTCTGCGAGAGGACAGTTGCGAGAACGCTTGCGCTCCAAGCGCAGACGCATTCTTGGAGGCCATGCTAAGTTCAGTGATACAAATCATCCACAGGGCCCTAAACCGGAAGGAGCGTGCTCTACTAAGTCAGATGTTTCAAAAATATCAAGAACCAAAATTGAGATCACATTCGTGTGCAGTGATGACAGAAAACAGTGCAAGTCGCATTGCGCATGGAAGAGTGCAAAATTCATCAAAATTTTGCTACTTATTTGCGGTGTGAAGCCTGTGAAGCACTCAACAATGTTTTTGACAGCTATGGCAAAGGAATACCGTAAAGAAGTCTGAATCAATCCTCACCTCCAAAAACACCACTACTTGGAGCCATTTTTGCGTTTCTGTTCAAATCCAATGTCAATGTCCAAAACACTATAATACACAACTTGTTTGCTTATTACAGAATCACAAAAACACCAAAAAGGTAAAGAAGGGGACATGTTCAGCGCATTTCAGCCCCATTTTGGGTCCATATTAATATTGGATCTCTGCAAAGAAATGAAAAACAGCACCGGCTGCCTACATGCCATGGTGGGTTTCATTCGAGTCGGGAAAAAGTCAACAGCTCCGGTGTGTACCTCCATTTGTAAACCTTCACTGCCGTTGCGGTCTGGGTGGATTCTCTGGAGTTTGCCACCTGCTGTGTTCGGAACTGCTGCACCTGCAAGGCATGTTTCGGAAGTGCAGGCTGGCAAAGTCGGCAAAGCAGCTCAATCCGAGGAGTGTGGAAAGAATCAAAAGAGCTGAATTCTGGCCACGCCCTTCGCATCAGGTTTGATCATGTTGGTGTGATCGCCGTCACTCCCTTTCTTCGATATCTTCCATGGGTTCCCTAAACACATTTAGAACGGCACCGCAATATAAATGAGGCGGGGGAAGCAGTTGGTGGCCTTTCACTGACTTGGACCCAGAATATCCCACCATAGCTGTTACATCTTGTTATCAGCAGGAGAAGCTGCAAGAATTCTCCATCAGATCTCCAGGGTTCTGCGCCCTCACCTGAGACAGTCCGTGTTGGTCTTTGGGGCATTTCCTGAGTGTCACACTTCTGTTTTGCCTTGATGTTAACTTGTGGGCGTTTCCGTTGCTGTTGCAGGCTGCAGCTGCATCTCAGTCTTGGGAGGAGAGATTCATCTTTCAAGACAGTCTGAAAAGCTTGCCAGCGATTGTTGAGCAGTTCCCAAATTGTTTTTCTGCGGCATTTTTGTTCAAGGACAGCTGAGATTCGAGACAGTACGAGATAGTATTTTCATGATATGATATTTCATGTTTGTTTTTGGTCGCTAAGCCCAGCTCCCGTCTTCAAAGAACTTGTTCTTGGAGGACCTTCCCCTCCAGCTGCAGAACGCACTCGAGTTCTTGCGCAAATTGCCCTACTACCCACAAACACTTCTAAGAAATGCCAGGCTGGTCGCCCTGGGTGAAGGTAGAATCATGGAGAGTCATGGAGAATCTCATCACGAAAGCTAGTGGTAGCTAGCTGGAGTTTCTTCTTGCTTTAGCAAGGGGGTGGACCAAATGCCAAACCTGTAATTTTTCGACGCGAACCCTCCCTCCCTTCCCCTCCATGCATCTCGCACAATCACAAGCCAATACCACAGGATCACGCGAACTAAGCCGGGCAGCATTTAATTCCAAACCACGTTGACATAGGCCACACGAACCCCCCATAGGCCAATACCTCGGCGATTTATACAGCTCTACTCAACTATAATGCATCTCACACAATTACACATCCAATCATCATCCATCATCAATCAATGAATATCGTGTTTCATGAGCGTATCAAACATACTTAAATAAGCACCAGTGATCACTCGCGACAGCAGCTCCAGTTCGTACACCTGGCTCAAGAAACTGCAGAAAACCCAACTCATTCTTAAATTTTAGTTTTCATTCGATTTTCCCCTCAGTAGGCAAACATTATTGCAGCTGCCTAGCAGATAGAATTTTTGTCTCAAGTTTTTGCTCGCTACTATAGGCAAATTCTAAGTGCTACGGAAAACGGCGGCTTAGAATCGTTTATACATTTTTTTGACAGATAGAATTGTTTTACACATAGAATTGTTTTGATATATGTATATGTGTTGTATATATTCATGCGTGATACGTTGATTACAGTATATAAATATATATATATATATACACTTGTATATACATAATATCTATCACTGCCACCATTTTCCAAGGGAAACACCCAATGTATATACATAAATTTGATGGGCGATGTATGATGGATGAGAAATGCTTTGAAATGTTTTGAATACCAAACACAATATTTCACAGTGTGTCGAATATTGTTTTGAAAAAACGAGCAGATCCATCCAAACATCCATATATACCACAGTATTGACGCTGCAGCTTGTGGGGTTTAAGAGATCGCAGCCTTGCATGAATGGCATGGCGATCCTTAACGACAGGGTACGAAAAAATGTGCCCATATTTTCTTTAATGGTTGTAAAGCCACCCGGATACAATGGTGATGCAGTTAGAATTAGTTTCCCATCGGCCCCCCTTTCCACAACTGGCAGAGCAGGCGCCTCCACATGAAATTGCATCAGCAGCCCTTCAACAGAAACCGCAGCAGAAGGAAGAGCAGAAGGAAGTAACAGCAGAAGGAATGCACAGGAACAAGGCAAGCAGCACATAGAATTGCAGAAACAGCATCCAGACTTGCCAGAGCAGGCACCTCCACATGAAATTGCATCAGCAGCCCTTCAAAAAAACAGCAGCAGAAACAGCAGCAGACGGAACAGCAGATGCTGCTCATGCTCCAGAGCCCGAACGAAACCCAAAGCAGGAACCGGCACCAACTGCAACTTAAATGCGCAGGAGCAAGACAAGCAGCACATAGAATTCAAGAAACAGCATCCACAAATGGCAGAGCAAGCACCTCCACATGAAATTGCATCAGCAGCCCTTAACAGAAAAAACAGCAGAAAGAACAGCAGAAGCAACAGCAGATGCTGCTCATACCCCACGGCCCGAACCAAACCCAAAGCAGGAACCGGCACCAACTGCAATTTAAATGCGCAGGAACAAGACAAGCAGCACATAGAATTGCAGAAACAGCATCCAGACTTGCCAGAGCAGGCACCTCCACATGAATCTGCACCAGCAGTCCATCAACAGAAACACCAACAGGGGGAAGCACTGAGCCAGGGGGAACCAATATATGTATAAATGAGGGGTATCCCAAAATGGATGGTTTGCAGTGGAAAATCCTTGAAAAAGTGGATGATTTGTGGGTACCACCAGGAGTTGACACAATTCTAAGTGCTTGGTTGTGACATGGCCTTCTAATTCTAAGTGCATTATTTTGACATCACTGCGGGCAATTCTAAGTGCACTCCCCAGGTATCACCGAGACACAATTCTAAGTGATAGTCACCATGATTTACGAATTCTAACTGCTAGGGTGTCGCAATAACAAAACATAATAAGCATTGACTATAACTATTACAGGCCTCCAACTGTAACTCAGCCAGGGCTGCGTGGAATGAATATCTCAATGCACACGGTCAGAATATGTAACAGACAAGATGTGCAAGAGAAAAACAGTAAAGATTTGAAGCTGAGAAGTTTAAAAGATTTGGTGGTTCACAACGTTTTCAAAACTTTTGACCTATCTGCCTGTGATTGCACAAACTTTTGTTTGGAGAGATAGTACCAGGAGGTTCCCAAGCCTTTGATCTATGAACTGCATGTACTGGAGCAAATCGAAAACGCACCCTTGCTGGTAGTTGGATAAAGATGATCTTCGCACCATTTATTTGAGATAGCCGGCATGCTCTGAATTCTCCATATCTGTCGATAGATGGCTTTCTTCTCAAGCTTCCCAAATGCCATGAAAGCATTTGAGACTATACGCACGCAAAGTTCCATGACATGTGGTCCTATGTGGTGGTATTACTACATAAGTCGCACAATTGCTAGCTACATCACTTAGCTATCCCTGACTTAAGCCGCACATTCGCATGCTCAACTATATAACTTGGGCTTCTCCCCCCGTCACATCTTGGAAGCAGATGAGCAGGGGCTCAATCCCCCCACCTTCTCCCACCCCCAACCCAGACAACCCAGGCCACCCAACCCACGTCACCATCCAACTTATTCCACCAAGTCACTCCACGAAAGCATAAATATAATATGGTGATCGATCTAAAGGTCCTTGTAAAGAGTTTTAATTGCGAAGACCCTTCATGTTATTTTGCGAGTTCGCGAAATATTTTTTTTATCCGCGATTGGATATTATTATGAATCATTTACAGATCATTACAGCTTGTTAAGGGCTGCCAACTCCTGCCGACCGGGGGTCCGGGATACCTTTCCCTTCATAGGTAGCAGACAAGCTTCCGAAGGTGAGGCTTCGCCACAGCCAAAAACCATGGTCGTGAAGCGCATCCTTGCACCTGCCACTGGTACTGCCTAACGTTCCTTTCCGAAGTCTCAAAATGCAGCAGCCGAGCTTCCAAAAGTGAGGCTTTGCGAGAGCCAAACACCAAGGCCCCTGGTGTTTGCTTTTCCTCTGATGCGGTTATGGCTGGGGTCTGCGGATAAGGGTATTTTCGCGAAAGTTCTGCGAGCGAGTGGGCGAAAGTCAAAGTGCATTTTGAAGGGAGTGGCCTAGTAAGCCTTGCAAAAACAATTGCCTAATCAGCAACAACCTGTCCTGAGAAGGGGTTTCCGTGATGCTAGCTGCATGCTTACAAGGCTATGAAGAAGTTATCCGTGGTAATTTGGTGTGATTTGGCAGGTGATGAATGAATCTTCATAAGAGGAGTTGTTGCTCAACATGGGTTCCGCGGAAGATAAACATGGAGTTCGCGAAAGATTCGCGAACGATTTTTTTGGTATGCGCGAAGAATGGCCGTTTGCAGATAAAGGAATTTAGATCAACCGCCATATATCTCCACCTCTCTCCCTTCACCTTGCCCCTGCTTAGCTTTCGTTCACCAACCCTTGGGGCCCAATTACAAAATTATATAAAGGCACTGAGTGGAATACTTTGCCAAATCCATTGCTGCAAGTTGCTGGGTTCTTTCCCAGATAATTTTGGATTTTGCTGCATTTTTGTTGAAATGTTTTTTTTTGGAGGTTTATTACCGGCAGTGCTGAGATGTGCTGAGTTTTGTTCGGAGGCCTTTCTTGCCGCCACCCACCAAGCCCACTTTGGTCTTAGACCTGGACGAAACCTTGGCGGGGCCTGGTCCGTCCTAACGGTTCGAACATACGGTCAAAACGGTCGAAACCATTGTAACCATCGTCTACCATCGTAATCTTTACACATTTTACGCATCTCTTGAATTCTCTTGACATATCTTGACAACTGGAGTGTTTGCTGACGAGTTTTCGGCCCACGGGCAGGTGCACTGTTGTCGGGGTTTGACTCAGATGGCAACTCTGCCAGACATGATAGTCGAGGCAAGTTTCTGCAAGTTTCAGCATGTTTCAACAAATTTCAGCAATGCTGTTTCAAAGAGTGTGCTTTCGCCAGTTTGACGATGGCATCAGTACCGGCCGCGTGCATTTCCGACCGTTCGTGCAAATCTTCTTGGAGGCAAGACTTAGGAAGACTCGTGGCTAGATTGGCTTGAGCCGTCTTCGAGGTGGCAGTAGGTTAAATGATTCAGTATTTGAAAGTGCTCGTGCGTATGGTGTAAAATGTTGAAGATGCAAGATGCTTGAGAAATCTTGAGAAGCCTTTGAGGTGGTGTCCAGAACCTTTGAAGTCGTGGTTTTCACAGCATCGCAGCAATCCTATGCAGACCAGGTGTCGGCCTCGAGCCAAATTCTACACTGATGAAGTGAAAAGAAGAGCATTGCAACGAGCGAGTGAATTGATGCACATATAAAACCCGTTATATTGCCGTATATTTTATCCATTTGGATCATATTCAATTCAACCCTTTGTATGTCTATGTGTCTATGTATCTATTGTATCTATTGTATTTATTGTACCTCTTGTATCAGTTGTATCTATTGCATCCATGGTTCATATTTACTGTATATACATATTGTATCATATTGTATCATACTGTATCCTATTGTATCATATTGTATCATATTGTATCCTATTGTTATTGTATCTATTCTATCGAATGTAGCTATTGTATCTTTGATCCTGCCCTGATATCCCACCCATCCATCTACATCTAGCCATCTCAATGTATCATATTAAACATTACTTACTGATTGTTTGTTTTTGAGGTCATTGATGCTTTGGACCCAGCAAGGGCATTGATTTCCCACCGGCTTTATCGGCAGCACTGTACGGACAGCCTTCTGCTGCTAAATGCGGCCTTTGGGTGGCATGGCAGCTGGGTAGGATCAGTGCAGGCATTTCAATCTGTCCTTGCAGCGTTTGACAACTTCTCATCATGTGATTCTGTGCGAACACACACTCACAAACACGCGATTTTTGGGACAAATTGGCACCAGACCCAATCAAGAACCAACCAGCAAGGCAAGGAATAGGAGGCAGACTAGGTGGGGCAGGACAATTGAAATTAGGACTCCAAAACAGGGCATTTAATGCCAGTGAAACGATGTGAAACGCCCTTCCTCTATCTTCAGGCTGATTTGCATTTTCCGCAAAGTTGGGTATAAACTGTAAACAAAGACGGTTTGTAGAGAAGACGGTCTAAACCTTCATCTTTGATTTTCAGGAAAAATGGGTTCAAAGTGCACTCTTCTGATTTTTTTTGTGATGTTTTGGAGCAGTGTGACTGGAAAAGCACAGGTCACACATCTATTCTTCATCTATTCTTGGATATTCAATCCATTCACAAAGGATTTGGAAGGAACTCACTGGAACTTTGGAAGGAACTCTGCGCGAGGAGTTCCGCGGTGCATACTTCAAAGAGCTGGGCCTGTTGGGCAGACCATTGAGCCAGGTGCGTCCAGGGGAAGCGGGGAACAGACACAGTAAATTTCATTTTGGTCAAAAATGAACGATAGAAACATGTGCAAAACTTGAGTTGTCTTGTGATATATTGTCTTTACATGTGTTGAATGTGTTTGCCCTGCCAGTGTGTTCTCGTCGACAATTCGCCAATCTCTGTGGCATGCAATGCTCAGAATGGCGTTTGCGCCTTAGACCTGTGTTGTGTGTTTTGACTCCTGACGACGAAACAAGAAGATAAACACGGCGACGAAAGGAAAACATAGGAAGACTAAGCCGCAGCTTGCCCTATCTCTGCTTGATTTGTTGGAGATTTGTCAAGCAGATGGGCCTCCAAAGGCTTTCGTCTCAACATTTTGAGGCTATGTGAAGCGTTGACATGCCTTGAGGCTATGTTGACATATTTATCGCATTTTATCGCACTAGGCACTGGCACCTGGAGTAGGTCCAATCGGGATGCACCACGCGAAGTTTGCATAGGAGTGACGCTCACACGTCTCAACTATCAGATAACTATCATTGTCATGACCCTCCAAAGACTGATGACTGGTGACAGAGCACGCGGAGTCGGACTGTCTGTTCCTGCCTTTCCGTTGTGTTTCCATGTATCGTCCGTGCTAGACGACACAAAGTTTCACACAGGCGAGCTTAAGATTCCTGTTGCTCATTCACAACACGCACGCAGACACAGACACAGATGACCTAGACACCCAGACACAGAATGACAGAGGCACCTTTTCACGTTTCTCTCTTAGGATACACTTGGTTCGTATTCTCAAGCTCCACTGCAGTAGGCAATATTCGATAGCCTGTCCACCAAACTACTGGAGGAGTTGTGAAAGGGGGAAGAGACCTAACGAACAAAAGCAGCGCAACACTGCGCAACAAAGAGAACCACATGAAAATATCGCGGAACTGTTTCGGCTGTTGGTTAATGAAAAGTATGCAGAAAAAGCAGGCCAGTGCCCTTGTGGAGAGATGTCTAGGATTGTTTTGGTGATGCCCTGCGAACCCGAATGCATTTTTTAAAAGCTCACGTAGAAGAAGGGCAGGGTTCCTACAGAACAATGAAAAGCGAACAGGAGATGCTCGATCGCATTAAAAGCCGCTCTTGCAGAACACTCTTGCTTGACACTCTTCTCGGACAATCGTGTGGGACACTCTTTTGTGACCCTCTTGTGGCACACTCTTGTGGGGCACTCTTGCGGGACACTTTTATGGGACACTCTTGTGAGACACTCTTGCCTGACACTCTTGCTCGACTCTTGTGGCACACTCTGGTAAAACACACACACACACACTCTCTCTCTCTCTCTCTCCCCGTCTCTCTCACAATACTCTGAAACACTCTTGTAAGACACTCTTGTTGGACACTCGTGCTTGGCACATCTAGAGCACCTCGCGGTACTACTTTGTACTACACAGCATCCACACAGTACCTCACAGTACTACTTTATACTGCAGATCTTGCACAGAGTCATTCCCAGTATATACTACTTTGTACTACAAGTCTTGCACAAGGCACTTCCCAGCACTACTTTGTACTACAAAGCACTTCCCAGTATTACTTCGCACTCCAGGCTCCACACCACACCTAACTCTCCACACATCACGCTCCACACTCCACACTTCCCACTCCACACTTCACACTCCACGCTCAACACTCCACACTCCACACTGCACACTTCAAACTCCACACTTCACAATCTCCACATTTCACACTCTCCACTCTCCACTCCGCACTTCACACTCCATGCTCCACACTCCACGCACTTCTCCCTTCACACTTCAGACTTCACACTCTCCACTCCACACTCCACACTTTACACTTTAGCTCCACGCTCCACACACTCCACACACTCCACACACTCCACACACTCAACACACTTCAGACTTCACATTTCGCACTCCACTTCACACTTCACACTCCACACTCCACACTTCACACTCCAGACGTCACACTCCATTTCAAACTTTGCACCCTCCACTCACACTTCACACTTCACACTCTATACTTCACACTTCACACTCAACACTTCACACCTCGCACTCTCCACTGCACACTTCCCACTTCACACTCCGCACTCAACACTCCACACTTTCCACACTTTCCACATCACACTCCACACTCTCCACTCCACACTTCGCACTCCACACTTGACACTCCGCACTCTGCACTTCACACTTCACACTCAACACTCCCCACTCCACACTTTACACTCTAGCTCGGCACTCCAAACACTCAACACGCTTCAGACTTCACACTTCGCACTCCACTTGGCACTTCACACTCCACACTTCACACTCCATTTCACACTTTGCACCCTCCACTCCACACTTCACACTTCACACTTCACACTCCACACTCTACACTTCACACTTCGCGCTCAGCACTTCACACCTCACACCTCACACCTCACACTCTCCACTGCACACTTCGCACTTCGCACTTCACACTCCACACTTTCCACTTTCCACATTACACTCCGCACTCCGCACTCCGCACTCTCCACTCCACACTTCGCGCTCCACACTCCACACTCCACACTTCACACTGCACACTTCAAACTTCACACTTCACACTTGACACTTCACACTCAGCACTCCCCACTCCACACTCCCACACTCCACGCTCCACACTCCACACTTCACGTCACACTCCATTTCACACTTTGCACCCTCCACTCCACACTTCACACTTCACACTCCACACTCTACACTTCACACTTCGCGCTCAGCACTTCACACCTCACACCTCACACCTCACACTCTCCACTGCACACTTCGCACTTCGCACTTCACACTCCACACTCCACACTTTCCACATTACACTCCGCACTCCGCACTCTCCACTCCACACTTCGCGCTCCACACTCCACACTGCACACTGCACACTTCAAACTTTACACTTGACACTTCACACTCAGCACTCCCCACTCCACACTCCCAAACTCCACGCTCCACACTCCACACTCCACACTTCACGTCACACTCCATTTCACACTTTGCACCCTCCACTCCACACTCCACACTCCACACTTCACACTTCACACTTCACACTTCACACTCCACACTTCACACTTCACACCTCACACTCCACACTTCACACTCCACACTCCACACTTCACACTTCACACTTCACTTCACACTTCACACTTCACACTTCGCACTCCCCACTCCACACCCCACACTCGACACCAACACTTCACAATCCACACTTCATACGTCACGCTTCACTTCAAACTGCGGACTCCAAACTCCACACTGCACACCTGGCACTACACACTTCACACTTCACTTCACGCTCCACACTTCACACTCCACACTTCACACTCCATTTCACACTTGGCACCCTCGACTCCACACTCCACACTCCCCACTTCACACTTCACACTCCGCACTCCACACTCTCCACTCCACACTCTCCACTGCACACTTCGCACTCCACACTTACCACTGCACACCTGACACTTCACACTTCACTCTTGTACTGCAAAGCTTGCACCAAACTACCTTCCAGTACGGCTTTGGACTGCAAAGCTTGCCCAAAGTACTTCCCAGTACTACTTTGTACTACAAAGCTTGCACAAGGAACTTCCCAGTACGACTTTGTACTGCAATGCTTGCACAACAAGTACTTCCCCGTACTACTTTCTAGTAGAAAGCTTGCACAAAGCACTTTCCAGTACTACTTTGTACTACAAATCTTGCACAAAGTACCTCCCAGTACAAAGCTTGCACAAGGCACTTCCCAGTACTACTTTGTATTACAAAGCTTGCACAAGGAACTGCCCAGTACTACTTTGTACTACAATGCTTGCACAAAGTACTTCCCAGTACTACATGGTACTACAAAACTTGCGCAAGGCACTTCCCAGTACTAGTATTACCGTGTACTACAAACCTTGCACAAAGTACCCCCCAGTACTATTTTGTACTACAAAGCTTTCACAAGGCATTACTTTTGTACTACAATGAGGCTTGCACAAGGAAGTTCCCAGTACTACTTTGTACTACAAAGCTTGCACAAGGCACTTCCCAGTGTATACTACTTTGTACTACAAGGCTTGCACAAGGAACTCCCCACTAGTACTTTGTACTACAATGCTTGCGCAAGGTACTTCCCAGTACTTCTTTGTACTACAAAGATTGCGCAGTGTACTTCCCAGTGCTACACTGCACTTCACACTTCACACTTCTCACTTCACACATCTTCACACTTCACACTTCACAATTCACACTTCACACTTCACAGCCCACACCCCGCACTCCACACTTCACACTTCACACCTGACACCAGACACTACACACTACACACTCCACGCTTCACATTCCACACTTAACACTCCACACTCTCCACTTCACACTCCGCACTCCACACTTTACACTTTAGCTCCACGCTCCACACACTCCACACACTCAACACACTTCAGACTTCAAATTTCGCACTCCACTTCACGCTTCACACTCCACCCTCGACACTCCACACTTCACACTCCACACTTCGCACTTCACACTCCACACTTCAAACTCCACACTCTACACTTCACACTCAACACTTGACACTTCACACTCTCCACCGCACTTCACACTCCACACTCTCCACACTTCACACTTCACACTCCACACCTCACAATCCACACTTCACACTCCACACTCCGCGCTCCATACTTCACACTCCACACTCCACAAACTCCACTGCACACTTCACACTCCACACTCCACATTTCACACTCCACCACTTCACAGGTCACACTCTTCACTCCACACTGCACACTTCGCACTTCATACTCCACCCTTCACACTCCACCCTTCACACTTCACTTGAAAATCCACACTTCCCACTTCACTCTGCACACCTGACACTACACACTTCACACCTGACTTCGCGCTCCACACTTCACACTTCACACTCCCCACTTCACACTGCTTACTCCACACTTCACACTCCACGCTTCACACTCCACACTCCACACTCCACACTCTCCACACTTCACACTCCACACTCCACACTCTCCACTTCACACTCCACACTTCACACTCCACACTTCACACTCCACACTTCGCACTTCACACTCCACACTCCACACTCTTCACTGCCCACTTCACACTCCACACTTCTCGCATCACCTTTTGTCACTTTCCCCATAGACAGCGCGGCGACGTAAGCATCGGAGAGCTGCGAAGCAACTTTCGCTTGAGTGCCACGAAGTCTCATGCCTGCCAAGGGAAATGCACCTTCACACGTCACAGACCATCACCTTGATTCACTTACCCCATAGACAGTGCGACGACGCGATTAGAGAACCGCAAAACGAAAACGACCCGCAAACAGTCCACCACGCCCAGGCCCTCAAGAAAGAAAACAAGAACCCTTTGCTACGCATTCGGGAAAAGCGTTACAAGATGTTACACCACAATTTACCAGAAGCAAACTGTCTTCAAACTGTCAAATTCAGGTCCTGTTGTGGCTACGACCCGGAGTTGACGTGGAGATGATTGGAGTTGACATGGAGTGTATAGGGTTGTTGATTGCTTCATGTGATGGCGGGCGTAAAGAGAATTGCTTAGGTCTTGATTCGAAGCTGGTACGGTGATCTGCAGGATCAGGACTCACGATCACTTGCAATGACACGCGATGCGCGCAGTTCTCTTCTCTTCGGACATCGTTTTATGATTTTTTTTTGGACAGGAACTTCTGGCTCTTCTGGAGGTCTTGGAGGAACTTCACAGTCTTGTCGCGCTCAAGACGGAACCTGTCGCATTTTGTTCCTTATTGCACTCGGTCTGACAAAGCTTCTGTAGCATTCTGTAGACCGCTTCAAACGGTGTCCATTGTGGCGCTTCTAGTGAACCTGTGTGTCCAGGATATGCAGAAGTGTAGCGCTCAAGGTGGTTATGACAGGCGCTCTCTCTCTCTCTCTAAAAGATTTACAGATGGCGAGCAATGAATTCCAAGACTCAAAGACACTCATGACTCTGAATAGACACTCCAAACATTTTTCTCGTGCCGATTTGCCACAGATGCCGGCAGGTATTTGTCACGGCGGTATGGCCTTCATGACTTCTTCCAGGAGCTGTTTTTGTTGCAAGTTGTGATGTTGGGTTATTTAATACTGTTACTTAATATACCATTTGCAGCCTATACAGTGTGCAAAGTCGTTTGTTTCATTCATTTGTTTCATGCGTTTCACATGTCGGATTTGGAGCATCTGAAAGCTCTTGCCCAAATTTCGCAGGCCCTCCTGGACCTGTCTGACGCATGAAAAAATGTTGGGACCATCGCATTCGGTACGACTTCGTTCAGACTCCTGAAAGTGAACAGGGAAAAGATCAACCTTGACCTGCTGTTCGATACAGAGTCCGTCTTGCAAAAGGCAGAGTATCACTATGACAACTGCACTGTCAGGTTGCACATGGAACCCAGCATGTTACTTGCACCTCCTTCATGCGGCACCGTTTTTATGGACTGTACGTACTCTGCCTTTGTCCTCATCTTTGACAGATTTGAAG